AAAAAAAAAAAAAAAAAAAAAAAAAAAAAAAAAAAAAAAAAAAAGGCAGAACAACACCTTAAAGCATCTTTCCTACAATAATAAGGAGCAGCCAATCACCATCTTCTGAGAAGAAAGGATATGTTAGAAAAAAAATCTAATGTAGAAAGCTCCAAGGTGAAGCGCCAAGTGTACTCATTCTACAGATGAGCAGCAGAGACTGTATTTCAGGCAACTCTGAGGTAGGGATTACAAGTACCTACACTTCTGAATCTACAGAGACACAGGTTCTGGAAAGCCTGGGATGATCCACTGCTTTCCAAGTGAAGGAGGTAAGAAACTAAATAGATATTCATCAAACTAAATAGATATTCATCAAAATTGGACTGATTCCCTCTCACTCCCACTCCTTACATTACACTGTTTTCCTTTAAAACAATGCTGGCAAATGCACAGCCCTACAGCAAGTCAGACTTGACTGAAATCAATTCTTTTCCCTGGACACATTACTTATTTGATGCTTCTGGCATCCCTTAGGAGCTGTGCCTACTGAGTGAGGGTCTAGTGGTGCTTACCACTCCAATCAGCTTCTGTACTGGGGGCCTGGGCAGGTATCAGGTGAATTTTGGGCACCTGTTTGCTGACATTTAGGGGCACCTGAAAACACATAGCATATACACATAGATAACTAAGAAGCTTTCAAATAAAATGCAGTCAGTATGCTGATATATCTCAGAGTTCAGTTTTGGATTTAAACATGTTTCAGCTGGTGGGAGGGGGTTTGGCATATCTAGCCTTCTCATCAAGGTAAGTCTCCCCCTCCCTTGGTAAGGCAGGGCAGAACTCTTCAATGATTTCCTGAAGGAAGCTGGTGGGAGAGCAGCAGAAACCTGCCCCAAGGCAGGTGAGCACTGACGCTGTATCTGATCCCGCTCATCCTGACATTTGGCAGCATGTTCGCTGCCACACTCGCATCAGCTGCCAGGTCACCACCGGAAAATCCTTGTCACGGGCACCAGCTCCAGCGGCCCACGCTCTTCCCAGCAGGAATGCCAGGCACATGCTCTCTGGGTAGCCAAGGACAGTGGCTCATTTAAGCCTAAAAACAGACTGCATGACTAGTACGATCAGGTTGGTTTCATTTTCAGTGCGCGAAGGAGGGCAGAAAGGACTCACGCTGCGGGAAACGTGTTGCCCCCTGCCAAAACCTGCTCCAGCTTAGCTGTGAGGTTCACAAGGATGCCCGTCAGCTGAGCTGCGGAATTAACCAGCTGAGGGGAGCAGGGGATTAGAGGAGGGCTCGCACCCCTCTGGCACAGTGACAAGAAACTGCTGGTATCCTGCACCGCGCCGGGTGTCCCCGCGGTGACAGCCCAGCCCAGCCCAGCCCAGCCCAGCCCAGCCCAGCCCAGCCCCGCTCCCCCTGCCCGTCCCCCGGCCCCTCACCCTTGGCGTCCTGCACCATGCCGATGGTGCCGCCCGTGTTGATGACCAGCACCCGCGCCGCGGCCGGGGCGGAGGGGGCCGGGGGGTACCCGCATCCCGCGGGGCGCTCCCCGGCCAGGGCTCTGCTGAGGGAGCGTGGCCGTCCCGCCGGTGCCGCCTCCATCCCTCGCCGCAGGAACCGCTACCTCCCGCCCGCCCGGACAACGGGGAGTTATAGGGCGGGCGGGCGGGCGGCGGGGCCGCCCCTTCCCAGGGGCGGGGAGAGCGGCCGTGCCCGCCCGCCGGAGCTCGGGGCGGCCGTGCGGGCTGCGGTGCCGGCGGGGGAGAGGGGCCGGGCCGGGCCGGGGCAGCCCCGTCACCACCCCCTGTACTTTGCGCCGCGGGGCAGCGCCAGCCCCGGGGCAACGTGAGAACCCTTCGTGCTTCGAGGAGAAGCGAAGAGAGGCGGCGCGATGGGGGCCCGGGGAGGACAAGGGGACACGCGGCGGCGGGTCAGTCCGGCGAGACCACCCTGCGTGATCCCCTTTTCTCCACCCGGGGGAGGAAGGTGGGAACTTCCCCTGTTTACCTGGCTCAGAGGTGGCTCGTGCCTGCCAAAGCAGGCAGCGTGGCACGGACAGCACCGCTGCTCTCCGTTTCAGGCTTCCTGATCTGCTCCCTCGGCTTTCACCCTGATTTTCTCGCAAGAGAGGACTGAGTTTCCACCTTCAGGCTGCGCATCCAGCCCTGGGCTAAAATGTGGACAGCCACGTACCATAGTGCCTGCTAACACCTGTAACACGGAACATAAGGGTTGTGTGGGAAAGGTCTCAATGGGAAAAGATAATTTTGCCCATTTTTTGAGCCTGCAAAACCACAACCTATTCAGACTGATCTCTTACTTAATCAAGCATCCATATGCAGTCCTCTCCTGTAGTCTGGCGATATTATCATGGGATGATAGAATGGTTTGGGTTGAAAGGGTCCTTAAAGATCATCTAATTCCAAACCCCCTGCCATGGGCAGAGATTTGACCACGAGATCAGGTTGCTCAGCCCACAAGCTCCTTTATTTGAGCTCTTCTGTCCCTTGGAGGACATTTCACCCTCAATGGCTTCTATTTCTTGGAAACCTGTGACCACACAATGGTTCTTGGTATAGCCAGACCCAGTCTGCCACTGTGAAAGGTAACTTCTGTTTCTGAACGGCCTTGCCAAAAGTGCTCAGGGTAAAACAAGTTAATGGGTGGCAGAGATGAGCAGTTGTGCATAGGACAATACGATCTCTATCTATATAGCTGGGACCTCTGAAAAAAGAAGTAAAAGAGGAGGGGGAGTCTTAATACACCAACCTCAGAAGCTCTGAGTATTTGTCTCTTTTATCCTGATGATCACCTCTGCTGTCATTTGCCTTATCTGCAAAAAGGTGGTTATCACCAGGAGCTGAATACCATGATCCTGAAATGGACTTTTTCCACGCAGCAGGGTTACTTTAGAGTCTTTGCTGATGCAGAGAAGAGCATAAAGGGAATAGGTTTAGGAAACAGGCACAAAGTATACACATCTACTTCATACACAAATTTAGTGCTTAGTGTCTAGGTGAGAATAGCGGATACAACTGGATTAGAGAGCAATTTTGCAGGTAAAGGAAGTAGGGAGGTATGATGAAAAAGGTGATGTCATAGGTATTTTACAGAAAAAACTAGAAATGAGTACCTTATAGACTGGAACTTGAAGAGGTTAGTTGTGGGAAGGCAGGCAGATTAAGGTCTGATATAAAACAAGCTGTATCAAGCCCTGTATTGGTGTCAAATTCAGCTACTGGTTTTACTTCTAAGAGTTGTGTTTGGAAAGTATATGGTAGTTTCTTTTGAGGATCAGGTATGAGATCAAATATAAGGAGGGTGAAGTTGTTTCCAAGGAACTCTGGTAAGCCTTGAAGTCTGTTGTCATGAGATTTGTTATAACTGGCCAACTATAAAGCAAAATTAGCAAAGTAACTGGCTAAACCACAATGAACCGGTTACTGAGGACAACAACTGTTGAGAAGCACAGTCTGCGTGAGCTGAGAACTACCTACCACACAAGTACTTGAGGCTAAACATGTCATTTAAGTGCCTGAGTTACTCAGTAAGTCAAAGGAAGATCATGCTTCCTGTAGAGAAGTGGCAGAGATTTTTGGCTCCAGGTCATATGAACTTAATTTGTACCCTGTACTGAAACTTCTAAATAAAATTTAACTCAATTTCAAGGTAAAAATAAATATTATGGGATGATCCAAGCAATTTCTTCTGTTTCCAATTCCTAAGACTTACTACTTCAACAGAAATAAAGTTTATGTACTCACTCCAAGTTGTTAATCTCTTAGACTGGGTGGCCCAAACCATGGCACAGAATTCCAGATGTTGCCTCACAAGTTCCAGGTAGAGGTAAGTAATCACTCCCTTGTATCTGTTGTCTGTAATTGTCCTATTAGTGCAGCCCAGCCTGTTTGCTTTCATATCTGCAAGTCCCATTTACTCCCCCGTATTTATTTTCCTAGAACTCCACATTTATTTCCATAGAACCACCAAGCCCATTTTGCACAGCTGTTACTTAACTTTTCAGCCTCCAGCCTGACCTGATTTATGCAGCTATCATGTCTCAGGTGCAGGATTGTGCACTTGGCTTTGCTGGATTTTACCATGTTCCTGTCAGCCCATTTCTCCAGCCTTTTGAGATCCTCCCTCGCATTTCAGGTTGGACCATTATTCTGCTTTTAGTTTGTCCCTAACAATCAGCCAGCTCTCCTGGGCTCCTCTGCACTTCACAACAGCCTCCCAAGATATCTTGCCATTTAGACCACTGAGGCCAAAGTCTGCTTCTCAAAAGTCAGACCCTTCAGTCTACTCTGTCTGCTCCTCACTTCTGCACTATGAAGGCCAGTTAGTAAAATACATCTCGTTGGGCTTGCGCACAGATATACCACAGAACTGCTTGATTCCAAGTAGCAGATATTTTGTAATACGTGTTTGCTTTCCTTTATTGCAAGAAATAAAGAACAGAGAACTAAAGACAGAAGCAATTGCAGCCAACAGCTCAGCATCAGACCCATGGTATCATATGCCCAATAAGGCTTGACTAATGTTTGATTAATGCTTAATTTTTAGTTAGTAACAGATGGATTACTTAGTAAATTAATGCTTGTTTATTTGAGAGTCACCTGCTGTGTCAGAAAAATCCCCCAAATGGCAGTCCCTGCTTCCCCAGTATTAAGAGCTGTGCCTTTTCCTGGGGGATCCTAAGTGCTGCTATCTCAGCCACTGCTGCCCTTGACTGTCATTCCCTGACCAACTCTTGCTTGTGAGTAGCAGATCCAGGAAAGCATCTCCTGTGTTCAGCCTGTCCAGCACCTGTGTCAAAATAACTGTCCTCAATGTCCGTAAAAATCTCATGGATCGCTCATCCCTTCTCCACACTGCCCTCTCAGATGCTGGGGTTGTTGAGGTCTCCAAGAGAACCAGGACCTGCAATCAAGTAGTGGCTTCTCCCTAGCTGAAGGAGGCTTTACTCACCTCCCGTCCTTCACGAGATGGCCTAGATAGAATAGGCACAGATCACAACATTGCCTTCACAGCCCTCACTGTGATCCTGACTAGAAAGCTCTCAAAAAGTCTGTAAATCTCAGTCCATAGCACTTGGTGCATTCCTTTACAGAGAGCACAAATCCATACCTCACCTTGCCATCTCTGTGAAAGAGCACTTGTGTCCATGCATTGCAATACTTCCTTCACATGAACTCTCCCATCGTGTCTCTGATTCCCCACAGCATCCCAATTTTTCAGCTGCACACGGACATCTAATTTCTCCTGTTGGTTTTCCAACCTGTGTCCATTAGAATACAGGTACTTGAGGCAGGTGCTTGATTGTCCGACTTCCTTGGATGGGAGAGAACCCTGTTGCCCTCTCCTCCAGTGTATGCTACCACTGAGGGACCTGACTTAAAGGCTCCCTCAGTAATTTTGCAAGCCCACTGACAGAGATGTTGCTGCCTGCCTGTCACACAGAACCCATCTCTGGTAGTCCCGTTTCCCCAGTCTTGGCTTTCTGGCTGTAGAAATCCAAGTCCTGCCAGCAACACCTGCCACACGGGTGGATGTTAATCTGCAGCATGTTTGCCCTAGCCCACATCATTCTCTTTGCCCAGGAGGAACAAGAAGAATGTCACCCAGACTCCCATCGCTGCTGCTGATTCTAAGAAAGCTGAAAACCAAAGGAATTTGGGGTGGTTTTACTAAGACAAAGGAAAAAAAGGGTTTAATGCAATGCACAGGATAAAATATGTCTGTAAGTGTAAACTGGGGCTCAGTTCCCCCTGGGTATCACTACAGTCATGCTAAAACTGAATTTTGGAAGTGATGAATCAGTGAAGATTAACACAATTGCAAATAGATGGTTCTAGGACACTATTTGCAATAAATTTCAGCATACAGAGCTCTTTAGAAACCACTTCATGTGAAACAAGTATTTCCCAGATGTTTTATATATTTAAATTAGTACTTTCCAGCAATACATTCCAAGTCATGTCTCTGTTCATAGAGCTCTCAATGGGCTGTAGCATGAAAAATTTACAAGACCATAATTAGGGCTATTATCAGGATATCTGAAATTTAGCTTGTGCTCAAGTGACAAGAAGCAAGAATAATTCTAGCATAAGATAATTGCCTTTTTCCACTGGATAGGAATCCTAATACTTCAGAAAAAGGACATTACAAAAGGGGTCAACAGCAACTATCTCATGAAAAAGACAAGTCATTTATTTGGATTGGTTTAGGTGAAATAAGTACCTGGTAGTCTTAAGTCACTGCTGGTTGTCCCTATCTCCCTCTTTTTCTTCATTTGACAGCTGAACTTCCACCTCAGCCCCCTCGTTATTCATATTTTGTCCCTTAGAACATGGTTCCCTTGGGAGCACTGCTTAATTAAGCAGGTTACGGATCTCCCACTTTACCCCCATCTCTTCATTCACATCCCACTTTATCTGCAGCTATCCAGATGGCTGAACACTGAACGATGATCAAAATTAGTGGGGTTTAAAAAATAACCCTGGGGGGAGAAATGTTGACGTGCTGAGTGTTTTCAACTGGGATAGGTTTCTGATCCAGCTGAGTGCAAAGGCCTGGTATTTGTTATACAGGAAAATCAAAAGTGGCAAGAATAGAGATGGAAGCAAAAGACAGAATGGGA